AGAGGTTTTACTATTTAACTCATAGCTGGTGGGGAGAAGAGTTGGATGCATACATAATCAGAATTTGACAAACAAACAAGAAATTATTTTATGGATATAAAGCGGGGGATCTATTCTACATTACATTCAATATATAAACTGATCCCTCATTTTGCGGCCATAGTATTTTCTATCCATTTATATTCCAAAGAATGTAAATAAATCTAAAAGACATGCCTGTGTAGCTAATCAGTATTTCATTGATTGAATCATTCGTTTTCTACGGCTTATCAACAAACAAGAAATTATAATGTGGATATAAAGTGGGGGATCAATTCTATATTATATTCAATATATAAACTGATCCCTCATTTTGCGGTCACAGTAGTTTCTATACCTTTATATTCCAGAGACTGTAAATAAATCTAAAAGACATGCCTGTGAAGACTGTCGTTGTCAGATCTCATAAACTGGCGCTACATAATCACAAACAAATAATTTTACCAAATAATAGGAACGCTTTAAAAAGCAATGACAACTGAAATAGATAGATAGATAGATAGATAGATAGATAGAAAGAGATTGCTATAGTTAAGTTTCACAGGATGACAAGAATTACTAAGAAGCAAACAATGCTACCAAAAATTATTCTTTGAGAGGAGTTGAATTCTTCAAATAATCTCGTCAGATCTAAACTCTCATATGGATGTCATGAGTGGCACCCAACTTGTTCAGAAATGTCTAAAATATCAGTTATTTTGAACCGTTTTCACATATCAATGTTAAAAAATGTTATCAAGCGAATGAGGTTCTTTGCCGGATTTCGAATGTGGATTTATAGACTGGCGCTACATAATCGCAAATAATAATTTTACCAAATAATAGAAACGCTTTCAACAGCAGTGACAAATGAAATAGATAGATAGATATGAATAGAATAAGATAAAGATAGATAGATAGATAGATAGATAGATAGATAGATAGATAGATAGATAGATAGATATGAACAGAGAAAGAAATGAACAGACTGAGATAGATAGATAGATAGATCGATAGATAGATAGATAGATAGATAGATATGAACAGAGATGGATAGATAGATAATTATGAACATAGATAGATAGATAGATAGATAGATAGATATGAACAGAGATGGATAGATAGATAATTATGAACATAGATAGATAGATAGATAGATAGATAGATAGATAGATAGATAGATAGATATTAATAGAATAAGATATAAATAGATAGATAATTATGAACATAGATAGATAGATAGATAGATATTAATAGAATAAGATATAAATAGATAGATAATTATGAACATAGATAGATAAGATAGATAGATAGATAGATAGATAGATAGATAGATAGATATGAACAGAGATGGATAGATAGATAGTTATGAACATAGATAGATAGATAGATAGATAGATAGATAGATAGATAGATAGATAGATAGATATTAATAGAATAAGATATAAATAGATAGATAATTAAAACATAGATAGATAGATAGATAGATATTAATAGAATAAGATATAAATAGATAAATAATTATGAACATAGATAGATAGATAGATAGATAGATATGAATAGAATAAGATAAAGGTAGATAGATAGCTATAAGCATCCTGAGATAGATAGATAGATATGAACAGAGATGGATAGATAAATAGTTATGAACAGAGATAGATAGATAGATAGATAGATAGATAGATAGATAGATAGATAGATAGATAATTATGAACAGTGATAGATAGATATAGATAGATAGATAGATAGATAGATAGATAGATAGATAGATAGATAAACATGTACAGACTGAGATATATCACGTTCACGAGGCAGAGAGAGAGAGAGAGAATGTATGTCTGTTATAGATAGATAGATAGATAGATAGATAGATAGATAGATAGATAAACATGTACAGACTGAGATATATCACGTTCACGAGGCAGAGAGAGAGAGAGAGAGAGAGAGAGAGAGACAAATGAATGTCTGTTATAGATAGATAGATAGATAGATAGATAGATAGATAGATAGATAAACATGTACTGACTGAGGATACATTACGTTCACTAGGCAGAGAGAGAGAGAGAGGGAGAGAGACAAATGAATGTCTGTTATAGATAGATAGATAGATAGATAGATAGATAGATAGATAGATAGATAAACATGTACTGACTGAGGATACATTACGTTCACTAGGCAGAGAGAGAGAGAGAGAGACAAATGAATGTCTGTTATAGATAGATAGATAGATAGATAGATAGATAGATAGATAAACATGTACTGACTGAGGATACATTACGTTCACTAGACAGAGAGAGAGAGAGAGGGAGAGAGACAAATGAATGTCTGTTATAGATAGATAGATAGATAGATAGATAGATAGATAGATAGATAGATAGATATGAACATAGATAGATAGATAGATAGATAGATAGATAGATAGATAGATAGATAGATATAAATAAAATGAGAGAAATATAGAGTCTGTAAGTAATGAAATCATCTCCGTACACAACACCAATGTCTCGAGCAACTTTGGCAGCTTTGTGATTTCGATTAAAAGCAAAATGACGTCGAATCTGTCCAATTCTTGTGCACATGGTATTCAATCTCAAAAGGAGTGTCTAATATGGCACCAAAATAGAATTAACAACAATTTCACAGGATGATCAACGGAACGAAGAACTATAAAAATTCTACAAAAGAATTGCCTTCGAGATATATTCACAGAACATCAGAAAAAAACTAACGAATATGGAATAACTTAATACTTTCAATTTGCTTAAATTTCTATCTGGTTTTGTTTACTTTTTCCTTACTGTCTTTGCTGATTTTTTAAATATTCTCTTAACTATCCTTTAAGTTTGCTTCATTTTTTAGCACTGGTGAAACTTTATTGTGGTGCTTAATTTTCTTAATTGAGCTTGTTTAATGTTTTGATTTTGCTGAAATGATTTTGATTGATTTGCTGAAATTATTGTCTTGGTTTTTTTTTTTACTTTGCTTAAATTTTTCTTGAGTGTATTAGCTTGATTTATTTTGCTTCTTTCTTAACATTGATTAAATTTTCTTGTCTATCTTTGCATAATCTTGCTTAATTTTTAGACCTTGCTGAAACGTTCTCGCCTGATTTGCTTGAATTATTTTTCTTGAGCTTTTGGCCGAAATTTTTTTAACTGCCTTTGCTTCATTTTTGACTTTCGTTAATCTTCGTTTCTGTCTTGTATTAATTTTGTTTATTTTTTTTTACCTTTGGTAAAATTTTCTTGTCTGACGTAAGTTAATTAATCTTGTTCGTTGTAATTTATTTGCTTAACATCAAAAACTTTTTTTTCATTTCTTTTTTTTTTTTTTTGCATAATTTTTGCTTGAAATTTTGAAGTTCATTAAATTTTATTGTTCTATCTTTGCTAATTTTCGCTTCAGTTTTTTTCCCTGCCTTTGCTTAATTAATTTTATTAAATATTTTTATTTGCCCAAATTTTCTTGTTTGTCATTTGCTTAATTTACATTGCATTCTATTTTCTTTGCTAAAATATTCTTTTTTTCGTTTTTATTTTATTCATTTTGCTAGAATTGATTGTATGATTTTCTCAATTTATTAAGGTAATTTTTCTTGATTAAATTGTAACTCCTTATATGGCCATTGCTTAATTAATCCTGCCTAATAATATAATTTCCTTAAAATTTTGTTGTTTTTTAATTTTGCTTAAATTTTATTATTTGTCTTTGCTTTATTTTGCTTAATATTTTCACTTTGCTCCATTTTCCTTCATTAACTGTTGTCATATTTTGATTTTTCTCATTTTTTCTTTGCCGATTTACCTAATGTTTTCTTAAACTTTACTTATTTTCTAGATGTATGGATTTCTTTTAAGGATTTTGCTTGAGATTTCTCATTCTACGTTGCTGAAAATTTCATCTTTGTTTTCTTTTGCTTGACCGACTTTGCTTATTTGTAGATTTTGCTTGAACTTTTTGCTTATTTTTATTGCTTTATTATATATTTTTTTTATCGTTTTCGGCTTATATTTCAATCTTAGACATTGTTCTAGTCGAAATTTCGTTTTATTTTTAAATTTGCTTAAATTTTGTCTCTTGCTTTTGCATTAATTTTTTTTTATTCCTTGTTTTCCATGTTTGTCTCAGATTATGTTTTTTTTTTTTGTTTTGTTTTGTTTTGTTTTGTTTTTTTCAGAAATCTTTGCAAATTATTTCCTCCGGAAATGATTGCCTTTATTCATTGCAAAAATCTTGTTCTTCGTCTTATGCAAATTCCTTCTGTTCGTCAGCCATTTTAATTCATTTACTATTTTATGTTTTTTTGTTTTTGTTTTAATTTGATTTTAAATATTTTCCTTTCTCTTGCTTTATTTTGTTTTATTTGACATTATAAAATTGTCCTTTTTGCACAGGCTTCGAGCCTTGGGAACCGTGTTCTGGAAATTCGACACTGATTCCCGTCCAGTTCTTGCTAATCAATCGATAAAATCGTATTTTATAGGAATTTACAATGGCGATTATAAAATGAACTCAATGAGATAAAGACAATATGTAACCATAGCAACAAGTGTAAGGTTTCCGCTTTGAATAGAGTTACGGCTGCTTCCATGAAGCGAAAATATGATTTTGAAAAGGCGTAAGAAAAAATTTAAAATAAAATTTTATAAAATGGCTGCTGTTAGCAAAACCATTTTCAGGAATGATAGCTAGATCATTTTCATGAATATGCGGGTTGGCTTTTTATTTTGTTGAAGAATCTGAAAATTAACTTGTTTTTATTCGTCACCATTTTTCTTTTCATTCCTTTAATTGCTACTAATTATTACCATTTTTCAGATCGCGGATTTTACAAAAACAAAGCGGAAAGGACTGTTTGGAAATATACAGGTTGGATGGAAATTAGTTATACACTTTTTAAAATAACTTTGACAGAGCAATTAAACATTTTGGAGAAATAAAATATTAATTTGTTTTTTTTTTATAGCTTATCAACCTGTTTGCATGTTATTGAAAGCCAGTAAATATTTTGAAACCATATAAGTTTTTTTTTTTTTTTAAATAATGATGGTTTACTGATAAAGGATTTACTATTTAACCCATAGCTGGTGGGGAGAAGAGGTGGTTGCATACATAATCAGAATTTGACAAACAAACAAGAAATTATTTTATGGATATAAAGCGGGGGATCTATTCTACATTACAGTCAATATATAAACTGGTCCCTCACTTTGTGGCCACCACAGTTCTTATACATTCATATTCCAGAGATTGCAAATAAATCTAAAAGACATGTTTGTGTAGCTAATCAGTATTTCATTGATTGATTTATTCGTTTTCTATGGCATATCAACAAGAAATTATGTTGTGTATATAAAGTGGGGGATCAATTCTACATTACAATCAAGATATAAACTAATCCTTCACTTTGTGGCCACGCTAGTTTCTATACATTCATATACCAGAGATTGTAAATAAATCTAAAAGACATGCCTGTGTAGCTAATCAGTATTTCATTGATAGATTGATTAGTTTTCTATGGCTTATCAACACTTTGCAGGTTATTTAAAGCCAGAAAATATTTTTAGATTTTGGGAATTTGTTTTAGATAGTGATGGTTTAGTGATACAAGTTTTACTAATTAACTCATAGCTGGGGGTGAAGAGTTAGATTCATAACTTATCTTAATTTGATAAAAAAAAACACGAATTTATAATGTGGATATAAAGTGGGGGATGAATTCTATATTGCAATCAATATATAAACTGATCCCTCACTTTGATTCGTTTTCTACAGCTTATCAAACCTTTTCAGGTTATTTAAAGCCAGAAAATATTTTTACATTTAAGATTTCCTTGTTTTTTCTTTTTTGGTGTGGGTTAAATGATTCAGTGATATTTGATTTAATATTTAAATCATATCTAGGGGAGGGGAAGACGCGAATTCATACCTTCCCCAATGTTATTTATGTTTAAGTGAATATAAAGCAGCCCACAGGAATTGGACCTCTGTTTTTCGATTAACGATTTACAAGCCACCATCCTTGCCCTCACATACAGTCTTACAGCACCTTTTATTTCAAGTCGGTTACCCATTTAGGCACTGACCAAGTTCGATGTTGCTTAATTTCGGTGATTGCATGCGAACCCGCGTTTAAATTTTATGTGACCGTATACCAGTTATATGTCTTCTCATTTCCGGTGAGAGTAGTCTTATTAACACAGGGAACGCATCAATTCCTACCGGTGAAGTGACGTTTAGATTCAAACTGATTTCCCTAATTATATTGTGAATTTTCGGCCACATTCATCACAAAATCATCCAGTCAAAACAAAAAATCTCTCTTTTTAGCGACATGACGGACACCCTGTGTCGTGCTAGACAATTCGACTCGTCAGAATCTATCTTACCTACAGGGTGCGGCATAGATGCTGTTGCTAAATTTCAAGTGAATTCTACTTCTAAATTACTGTTCATTACATTGTAATTTATGGTTTATCACCCATCATCAGCATCATTCTTCGACCTCACTATAATTGGTCGGAACTCTATTGGCAACCCCTTTCCACATTGTTCGGTCCTGTATTGCTGTCCCCAGATCCCCAATGTCCAACCCTGAATCCCGAGCTACGGTGTCTGGGAAAGTCAATTTCCGTGAGAAGACACTTCCAGAAGAAAGCCATAGGAGTAAGAATGAAATGATTTCCCTGTCCGCTCGGTGGCAGTGGCCAGTAAACTCATATATCTTACTTTCTCTCTCTGATTTATTGCTTTATATCTCTTTCTCTCTATCTCTCTCTCTCGCTCTCTCTCTTATTGCTCCATATATCATCATCATCGTCATCATCATCATTATCATATTTTGACTTCTCTATGGTTTCTCAAAAATCCATTGACAATCCCTTTCCACATTGTTCAGTCCGGTATTGCTGTCACCAGATCCCCAATGTCCAGCCCTGAGTCCCGAGCTATGGTGTCTGGGAAAATCAGATTTCATGAGAAGACACTTCCGGAAGGATGCCATAGAAGTAAGGATGAGACGATTTCTCTGTCCGCTCGGTGGCAATGGAAGACAAACTCATATCTCTTACTTTCTCTCTCTCGCTTCTCTCTCTCTCTCTCTCATTTATTGCTTTATCTCTCTCTCTCTTTTATTGCTCCATAAATCATCATCATCCTTCGATCTCCCTATAGTTGGTCGGAACTCCATTGAGAATCCCTTTCCACACTGTTCGGTCCTGTATTGCTGTCATCCAGATCCCCAATGTCCAACCCTGAGTCCCGAGCCATGCTGTCTGGGAAAGTCAATTTTCCTAGGAAGACACTTCCCGAAGAATGCCATAGGAGTAAGGATGAGACGATTTCCCTGTCCGTACCATGGCAGTGGCTGACAAAATCATATCTCTTACTTTCTCTCTCATTTATTGCTTTTACATATATATATATATATATATATATATATATATATATATATATATATATATATATATCACACTCTCTCTC